AGGTCTGACATTCACTAGCCATGTGACCCTAGGAAAGTTACTTAAACTTCGTGCCTCAATTTTCTCATCTGTAAAATGGATTAATAAGAGTATCTACCTCATAGGGTTGTTATAAGGATCAATATTTGTAAAGTACTTACAATAGTGCTTGGTATGTATATTAATAGCAAATACTTATAGCAATTCTCAAGTCCCATATACTGTTTTGAGCTCTTTAAGATATTCATTTATTTAATCCTTGTAGCAACTCTATGAGGCGGGTGCTATTACCCTTGTTTTACAGTGGAGGAAACATTTCACAGGTAGGGAAAATTGCTTAACTTGCCCAGAGTCACAGTTAGTAAGTGGTAGAACTAGGATTCAGGGAGTCCAAGTCCAGAGTCCATGCTCTTAACCACTACATGATACTGCTTAATAAATATTTATTTATTGAAATAATAATGAATAGTGAATAACTGATGAAAGAGAAAAATCTCTCAGTTTATCTATAAATGTCTATTTTGCCCTTGTTTTTGAAAGATAGTTTTGCTGGATACATAATTCTAAGTTTAGAGTTTTGTGTTTTTTTCCCCAGCATTTCAAAGATGACATTCTGCTGTCTTCTGATTTCTATTGTTCCTGTCAGTCTAATTATTGATCATTTATAGGAAATATATCATTTCTCTCTGAGTGCTTTTAAAATCTTCTCATTGTTTTTGTTGCCGTGCAGTTTTACAACACTTAAGTGTTCATGTATTTTGTTTTTATAATTTATCTCAATTAGTACACATTATGAAGAAATCTGCAGATTCATGTTTTATCTTGTTCTTGAAAATCGTCAGCCATTATCTCTTCAAATATGTCTTTTTTCTTCATCTTTTCATTCTGAGACTCCAAGTTTATGTTTATTAGACTTTCTCAATCTACTCCATATCTCCTGGCCTCTCCTTCATAATTCCCATCTCCTTGTCTCTTGGTGTTGCATTCTGAATAACTTTTTCTGATCTTTCTCTCTACCTCTCTCTTTTTTTAAAAATTCAAACTATCCATTGAATGTTTAAAAAATTGATAGACTTTACAGCTCTAGGTCTACAGAAAAATTAAGTAGAAAATACAGAGTTCCTGTATATGCCCTTCCCCCATCCCTCCCCCACTTCTCCTATTAACATTTTGCATTAATGTGGTACATTTATTATAATTGATATGTTATTATTTAATATTAACTCAAGTCCCTAGTTTACATTAGGGTTCACTCTTGGCGTTTGTGCATTCTATGGGTTTTGACAAATATATAAGGATGTATGTATTAGTTTGCTAGAGCTGCCATAACAAATACCATAGACTGGATGGCTTAAAAAACAGAATTTTATTTTCTTACAGTTATGGAGGCTGGAAGTCCAAGATCAAGATCTTGTTTGGCAGAGTTGGTTTCTTCTGATGGCTGTAGTCTCTCTGTGTCTTCACAGGGTCTTCCCTGTGTGTATGTGTCTGTGTCCTAATCTCCTCTTCTTTGAAGGATTGGGGCTCACCCAAATGATCTCATTTTACCTTAATTGCCTATTTAAAGTCTCTTATCTTCAAATACAGTCACATACTGAAGTACTGGTGGTTAGGACTTCAACTATGAATCTGGGGGTTTAGGGGACACAATTCTGGCCATAATAACATATATCTACTGTTGATATATATGGTATCAGACAGAATAGTTTCTCTGCTGTAAAAATACCCTACGCTCCACTTATTCATCTCTCTCTGTCCCACAGACCCCTGGCAACCACTGTCATTTTACTATCGCCATAATTTTGGTTTTCCAGAATGTCATGTAATTGAAATTATATAGTATGTAGCCCTTTCACATTGGTTTCTTCCACTTAGCAATGTACATTTAAGGTTCTTTCATGCCTTTTTGTGGCTTGATTGCTCATTTCCTTTTTTCACTGAATATCTATTCACTTTGTAGTTCAACAGTTCTATTTTTAATTTCTAGAAGTTCTATTTGGTGCCTTCACAGATTTGCCTATTTATTTTGTATATTGCATGCCTGTTTTTGTGATTCCGTGTATTATTTCTTTAAATATTTCATGCATAGTTATTTTTGTATTCTGTGGCAGATAGTTCTAATATCTGAAGTTCTCAGAGTCTAAATATGTTTGTGGCTTCTGCTCATGTGGTGACTTGTTTTCTTACATTTTTGGTGCTCTAGGATTGTGAGTTCATAATGGTTGTTCATCATCACTGGCTACTATCCTGGAGGCCTAAAGTGAAGAATGCTTTCCTCCAGAAATATTCGGCATTCGATTCACATAGAAACCAGGGGGTTCCACTGGCCTGGAATCACATTAGTCACTTTTGAGGGTTGGGTTAATATGGGAGTGTCAGGTTCATCTCCATTTTGCCACATCATAATGGACGTTGGCTTTCAGGGCTGCCTTACCTTTTGCTTGTTGCTCACTGTTTTTCATCTGGTTTTAGCTTACTTTGTGTAAGCTTTCTGTTATTACTGAGTCTAGTGAGTACATTCTGAAAGTCTGTTTTATCTAAGACTTCATTATTTTGTAGGTGCATATCCCTTTTAAACTGTATAGTTGGGCATCTCACCAAAGCAGGATTCAGTTGCCCAAGTTTAGGTATTGACGGATAGAATGATGTTGATCATGTTAAACACCTTTAAGTTCTCCTGAGCATCCTCCCATTTTCACTCTCACTCATTCACTCTTCAGGATCAAACTTTGAGCCCTAGGCAAGTGACACATTTTCTCTTGACCAGCAGCCCATGCTGTTGGGAATGAAAAGTGGTGATGGTTAGTTTGGCTGTTGTCTCTGTGTGCTAAGCTGGATGACCTTTTGTTTCCCTGTGGTAGCACTGCTAAAAATCAGATTTGAATTTACTTCTGGGAAAGAAAGGTCTGGAAGACAGGTATAGTTACTGAAAAGGCACAGGATTGATGTTTACATCTCAGCTTGGCCATTTAGCAATTATGTGATCTGCTACAGATTATTATGTAACTTCTCTTAGCCTCCGAAGTCTCATCTGTAAAGAATAACAAAAGCTTCTACTTAACTGATCACTTACAATATACTAAACATTATGCTAAGTTTTTTGCATATATTTCTTATTTAATATTCAGTAACAACCTTATGAGATATAGTTATTATGCCTATTTTAATGATGAGAAAACTGAAGTGTAGAGAGGTTAAGTAAAATTGGGTTAATATTAAGGCCAAATTAAATACTTATTTACTTATTTTTAGAGATGGAGTCTCATTGTGTTATCCAGGCTGGCTTCGAACTCCTGGGCTCAATTAATCCTCCGCCCTCAACCTCCTGAGTAGCTGGGACTATAGGCACGCACCACCATGGCATGTTAAGACCAAATTTAAATGAGATAACACGTGTAGTATGCTGTGTACATATAAAGTGGTCAATACATAGCAATTGGGATTATTATGATTATTAACATTTTTTGAATATAAAATTAAGTCTTTTATATAATATGGCCTAAATAAGATTCATTCGCTAATAAATATTTTATGGAGCACTTACTATGGCCATGTGTATTGCTAATGCTAGAGAAACAGGAGAGAATAAAACAGATATGGTCCCAGCACTTAGGGAACTCCCCTTGGAGTGAGGGAGATGGATACATAAACATTTACAGTTTAGCCTGGGAAATGCTGTGATGGAACAAGAATAGGGTGCTTTGAGAGTCAAGGAAGATAAACCAGAAGAAATGCCCTTTAGGCTTAGACCTGAAAAATGAGTTGGAGGTAAGAGTGGGGAGGAAAGGCACAGGTAGCAGTGATAATGAAAGTCTGGAGGGGAGAGAATGCATGCTGTGTTTAAAGAAGTGAAAGTATTTTTGTTTATAGCCTCTTAGGAAAAGTACAGAAAGTGAGGCTGGAGAGGTGGGCAGGTGCCATATTCTGAAAGGCTTTGTAGGCCCTGCTGCAAGAGTTGGACCTTTGTACTTAGGGCACTGGAAAGCCTCTGAAAGTTGTTTACCTAGCAGTGATGTGATTTAAAAAGATCATTCTGGCTGAATTGTTGGAATAACAAAAACAATAGCTTTAAATCCTTACTTGGAGGTAAGTATTACTATCTTGATTTTATAGATGAAGAAATTAGAACTTAGAGAGCTTACTTCACTCACAAAAATTCACACATTTAATAAGAAATGGAATCATGGAACCACGTCTTTCTAAATCTAAAGCTGTATTTTGCTGTATCACCTTTAACTAGTTATGATTTGTTATTGCTTTATTTTTAGTCTGTGAAAAATTCTTACTCTTATAAGTATTGGCATACTCTGTGATAGTTTACAAAGCATTTCACATCATTATTTAATTTAATCTCCTTAAAACTATGAATTAGGTGGTGTTATCTCCATTTTACAGGTATGAAACTGAGGCTTGAGGTACGGAACCATCCATGGCCCCACATACCTAGAAAGTGACAGAGGTGGGACTTGAACACCAGGCTCTTAAAAGATGAAAACCTTTTTAAAAAAATTTTTTTTTTAATTTGTAAGAAATTTTTTTTAGTGGGTATCTTGTGAACATGCCACACTTTTTCTTGGGTTTGTGCGAATGTTTTATAAGGTTCTTTATTCATTGTGTGAATGTTTATAAGGTTCTTTCCTTCCAGGTTTTGGAGATCATATTCATTGGAGGACACTAGAAGATGGAAAGAAAGAAGCGGCTGCCAGGTACAAAACATGGTTTTAGGTCATTTATGGTGGCAAAACACTTTCCAGTTACCAACTTTAGATTAAGTTTAGGTGAAGGGCTATGCCAAGGCAGAGTAGGAGCTAAATAGTTGCCTGATAACAACAATAATACTAGCTAACATTTATAGTTGATGTTTGAACAATACAGGTTTGAACTGTACAGGTCCACTTATATGTGGATTTTCTTCAATAAATATATCGAAAAATATTTTGAAGAATTTTGGCAATTTGAAAATACTTGCAAGATGAACCATGTAGCCTAGAAATATAAAAAACATTAAGAAAAAGTTAGGTATGTCATGAATATATAAAATATATGTAGAAAATAGTCTATTTTATCATTTACTACCATAAAATATATACAAATCTATTATAAAAAGTTACAATTTATGCACACAAATACTTATAGACCACATATGGTGCCATTTGTAGTTAAGAGAAATGTAAACAAACATAAAGATATAATATTAAATCATAACTGCATAAAATTAACTGTAGTATGTACTGTACTACTGTAATAATTTCATAGCCACCTCCTGTTGCTATTGCAGTGAGCTCAAGTGTTTCAGAGTATCTGCTTAAAACATCATGTGATACTAATCTCCATGTGAGTAGTTTCTCTAGTAAATAGAATGTCACAGTAAAATGTGATCTCTCTCAGTTTTCATGTATTTTTCATGCTAAGTTTAGTGAAATACCATAAACCTAGAATAACATCATAGAACCCACACAAAGTGCCACCAGTGATGCCAGAAGTGCTCCCAAGAAGCAGAAAAAAGTCATGACATTACGAAAAAAAAGTTGAATTGCTTGATATGTACCATAGACTGAGGTCTACAGAGGTGGTTGCCACCCACCATTTCAAGAAGAATAAATCCAGCGTAAGGACCATTGTAAAAAAAGAAAAGGAAATTCACGAAGCTGTCACTGCAGCTACACCAGCAGGCACAAAAACCTTACAGTTTTTACGAAGTATCTTTTTATCTCATATTGAAAATGCAGCTTTTATGTGGGTACAGGATTGCTATAAGAAAGGCATACCTATAGACTCTAATTTGAGAAAAAAATGAAGTCATTATATGACAAAAAGAAGGTGAAGTATCTAAAGCTGGAAAATTTAATGCCAACAAGGGATGGTTTGGCAATTTTAGAAAGAGGATTGTCTTAAAAAATATCAAGATAAAAGAAGCAGCTTCTGCTGACCAAGAGGCAGCAGACAAGTTCCCAGACACCATTAAGAAAATCACTGAGGAGAAGAGATATCTGTTTGAACAGGTTTTTAATGCAAATGAAAATGCCCTATTCTGGAAAAAAGTGCCACAAAGGACGTTTATTAGTAAGGAAGAGAAGTGAGCACCAGGATTGAAGGCAGGAAGGGATAGGCTAACTCTACTGTTTTGTGCAAATGCAGTCAGGTTTATGATCAGAATTAACCTTATCTGGAAAGCTGCTAACTCCTAAGCCTTGAAGGGAAAAGATAAACACCAGCTACCAGTCTTTTGGTTATACAATAAGAGGACCTGGATGACAGGAACACTTTTTCTGGATTGGTTCTATCAATGCTTTGTTCCTAAAGTCAGGAAATACCTTGAAAGTTCTTTTGATATTAGACAATGTCTGGGTCCTTTAGAGCCCTATGAATTCAACACCAAAGGCATCAAAGTGGTCTACTTGCCCCCAGACACAGCATCTCTAACACAGCCTCTACACTAGGGGTCAAAGGACCTTTAAGGCTCATTACACATGGTACTCTATGGAAAGGATTGTTAATGCTATGGAAGAGAACCCTGATAGAACATCATCAAAATCTGGAAAGATTACACCATCGAAGATGGTGTCGTTGTTATAGAAAAATTTGAAAGCCATCAAGCCTGAAAGAGTAAATTCCTGCTGGAGAAAACTGTGTCCAGATGTTGTGTGTGACTTCACGGGATTTATAACACAGATAATCAAGGAAATCGTGAAAGAGATTGTGGCTATGGCAAAAATAATGGGGGGTGAAGGGTTTCAAGATATGGATCTTGGAGAAACTCAAATGCTAATAGACACCATACTGGAGGAATTAACAGAACACAACTTGATACAGATGAGTGCTTCCAAAATAGGGCCAGATGATGAGGAAGAAGACATAGAAGAAGCAGTGCCAGAAGAAAAAAAAAGTTAGACAAACCTAGCGGAAGTGTTCCTATTATTCAAGAGTGCTTTTGACTTTTTTTTTTTTTTTTTTTTGAGACAAAGTCTCACTGTGTTGCCCGGGCTAGAGTGCCGTGGCGTCAGCCTAGCTCACAGCAACCTCAAACTCCTGGGCTCAAGCGATCCTTCTGCCTCAGCCTCCCGAGTAGCTGGGACTACAGGCGTGTGCCACCATGCCCGGCTAATTTTTATATATATATTTTTAGTTGTCCAGATCATTTCTTTCTACGTTTCAGTAGAGATGGGGTCTCGCTCTTGCTCAGGCTGGTCTTGAACTCCTGACCTTGAGCGATCCACCTGCCTTAGCTTCCCAGACTGCTAGGATTACAGGTGTGAGCCACTGCGCCCGGCCAACAGTAGGCTATTAGTAGTTAAGTTTTTGGTGAGTCAAAAGTTATTTTCAAGTATGTGGGAGTCAACACCCCTAACCCCCACATTGTTCAAGGGTCAACTGCCCTAAGTGCTTACTGTGCACCAGACATTAAATTACGTGAATTAACTAATTTAATTCACACAACTCTCTGAAGTGTTACTGTTATCTTCATTTCAGAGATGACAAAACTAAAGCAGAGTTTTCTAAGGTAACTTGCCCAAGATCACATAGCTAGTTAAGCGGCAGAGTCAAGGCAGACCCAGGCACTCTGGGTTTGGAGCCTGCACTCTCCACCAGTATACCATACTGCCTGCTAGACTCATGTTGAATAGTCTCAAGTCCCAAGTAGGTTTAGTGTATGCACAATTTAGTGCGTAAGGAAAGGGAAAAGGCAGGGGAGGGGAAGGAAGGCTAAGCACTAGTCTAAGTGTTTTACACGCATTGATTTATTTAATCCTTACAACAACCTATTAGGTTGGTACACCTATGAAGTAATTGCTGTTATTTTACAGAAGAGGAAATTGAAATACAGAAGAGTTAAATAACTTGCCAGTATTTACAATGTTAGCAAGTGGCAGAGCCAAGATTTGAACGTTTTCTACTATACTGTCCTGGAGAGATACAAAGACCTACACCCCAATATATATGCAACTACATTATACACACACATACTTGTACGGACACACTCACACTTCTGCATTTACCAAACTGAAGTGCTTGGTGTTCCCAGAACAGAGCCTACAATTTCATGACTCTGGGTCTCAAACCTTCTGTAGGAGTAGCGTTGCCAAATTTAACAAACAAAAATGAAGGATTCCCAGTTAAATTTGAATTTTAGATAAATAGCAATTTTAAATATGTCCATGGGACATTTGGGACATATTTATACTAAAAAAACTTTTTGTTGTTGATCTGAAATTCAAATTTAACTGGGCATCCTGTATTTTATCTGGCAAATCTAGCCAGGGGAAAAATTCCTGTTAGTCATTCAAGCTCTAAATCAAATGACTATTCCTGGATTATTTCTCTGGGCAGTTTGTTTTTCTCTTCTGTTCTTTTATAACCGCACCTACATCTATCCGTTATAGCGTTTATTACTCTGATTGTAGGAGCTTGATTCTTCCCATTCAGACACTTGATCTCCTGTGGGAAAGCTGTTTTATGTTCATCTCTGAATTCCCAAACGTGGGAGATGTTCAATGATTGAAATAGTTATTGAATAAACATTTACTGAGAGCCAGTAAGTTTAGGAGGAGGAGTGAAGAACTAGCATTTATGAATTGCCTTCTGTATGTTAAATATACTGCTGATTGTTGTACAGTATTTAATGCTCACCAAGGCCTCAATAGGTTATAGTCTTTGGCCGCAGGGAGATCACATTCTCCTGAGGCCTATAGCCATTTGGCACAAATAACTGATGGCATTTCAGTCTCTGCATCTCTTTCCTGAGAAAGCTGGACCTGGGCCTAGTAGGCGTCTCTTGTTTCTATAGAAACAGGAGGTTCTGTACGAGTGAAAGGAGGCAGGAAGTGCAATGTGCACTTCCGGCTTACGCCAGTGTCGCAGGCAACCCGGAAGTTGGCGCCGCGCAATTGCATATGGTGGCTCCCTGAGAGGATGCCTCTCGTGGTGTTTTGCGGACTGCCGTACAGCGGCAAGAGCCGGCGTGCTGAAGAACTGCGCGAGGCGCTGGCGACCGAGGGCCGCTCGGTGTACGTGGTGGACGACGCAGCGGTGTTGGGCGCGGAGGACGCAACCGTGTACGGCGACTCTGCCCGTGAGAAAGCGTTGCGCGGAGCGCTGCGAGCCGCGGTGGAACGGCAGCTGAGTCGCCAAGACGTGGTCATCGTGGACTCGCTTAACTACATCAAGGGCTTCCGCTACGAGCTCTACTGCCTAGCGCGGGCGGCGCGCACCCCGCTCTGCCTGGTCTACTGCGTACGGCCCGGCGGTCCGAGCAGGGGACCTCAGGTGGCGGGCGCGGAGGAAAACAAGGGCCGGAATGTCAGTGTGAGTTGGAGGCCACGCTTTGAGGGCCGGAGACCTCAGGCGGCGGACACTGGTGTCCTCAGGGAACTGGATGCAGCGAACTCCGTAGTAAACGGGAGAGCCCAGACTGACGTACTTAAGGAACAGGTGCCAGACGAAACTGGGGCAACAGATTCTCCAGCTTTCGTGACTCCGCAGACCGAAAAATCTGCAAAGCCTGTGTCTAGTAGTGCCTTTTATCCTCCCGAACTGCTGGAGGCCCTAACGCTGCGCTTTGAGGCTCCCGACTCTCGGAACCGCTGGGACCGACCTTTGTTCACCTTGGTTGGCTTAGAGGAGCCGTTGCCCCTGGCGGCGATCCAGGCTGCCCTGTTTGAGAACCGAGCCCCCCCACCCCACCAGTCTACACAGTCCCAGCCCCTCGCCTCGGGCAGCTTTCTGCACCAGTTGGACCAGGTCACCAGCCAAGTGTTGGCCGGGCTGATGGAAGCGCAAAAGAACGCTGTCCCCGGGGATTTGCTGACGCTTCCTGGCACCACGGAGCACCTGCGGTTTACCCGGCACTTGACGATGGCAGAACTGAGTCGCCTCCGTCGCCAGTTCATTTCCTACACTAAAATGCATCCTAACAATGAGAACTTGCCTCAACTGGCCAATATGTTTCTTCAGTATCTGAGCCAGAGCCTGCACTAACCAGTGTGGGTAGGGGAAAGCCATGACTCCTAACTTCCACTGTGTTTTGTATCTCTGGGAAGAATAGTATGAGGGTCTGCAGAGCATATTGATATAGTACTGTACTAGAGCTGTTGTGAGTGATTCGCACAAACTTTCCTGACTGTCTCTGTGCTAGGCCTTGCGTTTACAGCATAAGGTGAGAATGGAGAACTAGCTTGGAGTATCCTGGCAAATTCCTTCAGAGGACAGAGTTCAGGTGAACAGAGGTTGCTTAGAGTGGATTCTACTTGGGCTGTCACACGCCATTGTTTTCCCCTGAGTTGTGGGAGAGCAGACTGGATGGATGAGAATTGCTTTAAAACAATTGTAAACAGAAACTGAAGATGGCGCAGTTCTGTGTCTGCACCTGCCCTTTTTTCATACCAAACATTTTTTTAGTACCATACTTTTTGCTAGTCTCTGTCCTGGGACTGAGTGCACAGATAGATCCATTGGTTTCTGTCCTTGGGAGGCTTTGATTTTGTGAAACTGAAAACATAACCACCAGATTATTTCCTCTAATAAAATCTTTTAAAGTAGATTGTGTGCTGGAATCTCTTTCATGTAATGTAACTTAATGTTCTCCATGTTACTTATTTAATGAAACATTTTAGACACATGTATCATTGTTATGCCTTAGAAATAGTATTTTGATAGTGCTCAGTGAAGACTAGCACTAGTTTTGGTCTAACCTAGAGTAATTATATTATGACAACTCCCATAACTATTGTGCTTCATTCTGTATTTCAAGGCAAATGTCACTAAGCTTGTCTTTCATTCTTCATTGATTTCTAGTGCCTGTGATTTTCAAAAATTGGGTACAGTCTTTGCCTTTGAGGAATTGCTGAGAAATACAAGTAAACAGATGATTATAGGATGAAAAGGGCTGGTCAGAGAATGATGACAAAATGCTCTGGGAGCCCAAAAGAGAGCAACATGGTTTTGGAAAGGCTTTAAAGGGAATTTTAACATGGGAACCATCACTCTAGAATAATGGTCAGCAAAGGGCCAAATAGTAAATGTTGTTTAGGTTTTGTGGGCTATAGGGTCTCTGTTGCACTTAAAGTAAGTAAACAAATGAGCATGAATGTGTTTTAATTAAAACTATGAATTACATTTAAGATTAACATGTCACAAGGAGTCTTTAGATTTGCTTTTCAACAACGGAAAAATGTAAAAAATATATAATGCTTTTAAAAGAGCCAAAAAATAAAATATTTGTATATCATGGGCCGTACAGAAGCAGGCAGTGGGCTGATTTGGCTCACAGACCACAGTTTGCTGATCCCTGCTGGAGAAGGATAAATAGGAGTTTGCCAGGGAGGAAAGAGGAAGCAAAACATTTAAAAATGTGCATGCTCTGAAACTGCATGGAGCTATTGGGTAGATAGGCTGCCTTGCTCGATGGTGTATTCCTTGTTCATCTGGTAATCTGGACCACCTTTTGTTTCTGGTAAACAGAGAGGATTGATGTGTGGTACGGAGATTTGGACTAGGCAACCTCAAAGGCCTTTTCTAACCTTCACTTTCTGATTCTAAGCTATTAATAGTTGCTTATTGGTGGAGCTGGGTTTAAACCCATGGACTCTGGACTTCCATTCTAAATTGAAGTCGACTGTAATGGTTAGAAAAAACATTGGTTTTGGAGTTAGACTTCTGAGTTAGCTAGTAAGTGGCAGAACCTGGATTCTATGTGGCTAAATATTTAACCTCTTGGGACTCTGTTTTCTCATTTCCATTGTGAGACCACTAATAGTATCTACCTTAGGGTTATTTTGAGGATTTAATGAGATAATGCATGTAAAGCATAGCACAATGTCATATAATAAACATTGACTACATTTTGGCTATTATGGTTACTTAGATCCCACTACCCACCTAAACTTGCCCTGCTCATTTGATTTGCAAGCTTTCACAAGTATCGGAGACACAAATCTATCCTAGTTTTGAGGTAGGCGTAAGATGAGGTAGCTGAATAATTTATTTGACACTTACTGAATAAGTTAATTTATGTATATTTAGAATAGTGCCTGGCCAATAGTAAATGATATATAAATAATATATATATAAAATGATAAGTGTTTGCTATCAATAATACTGTATACGTCAGACATAAGAGATACAAAATAGTGAAGAGTTCTTTTTCTTAGGAAGCTCCAAGTCCAGTGGAGGGAAATGGATAAATAATAGATACGAATCAATATGCCGAATGCAGTAATAGCTATTATACAGCGTATGTTGTTATGGTGATACAGGGGGTTGTGTGATGGAGAAAGCCAATGGCTAAGGGCCCTTCTACTAGTTGTCATGTGAGCCTTGAGAGTTTAAGAGCTTCATCTGGCCAATCTGGTAAGGTGGGTTATGTTACTCATTATTTTTAAAAACACTTTCTTCCCTCATTATAAAGATTATATGGTAGAAAAATTGGAAAATACAGAAGTATAGGAAAACATCCACAGTCCCAATTGTTAGATAACTGCTATTATGTTTTGGTGCATTTCCTTTTATCTTCTTTTCTCTATACATATTTGTATAATCAAAAGCAGACTATACCAGCCTGAGCAAGAGCAAGACCCTGTCTCTACAAAAATAGAAAATTTAGTTCCCATCAATACATGAGTGGATTAATAAAATGTGGTATATGTGTACCATCTCAGCCATTAAAAAAATGGTGAACTAATACCTCTTGTATTAACCTGGATAGAACAGGGGACCATTCTTCTAAGTAAATATCACAAGAATGGAGAAACAAACACCACATGTACTCATCATTAACTTGGAACTAATCAATCAACACTTATGTGCACACATGAAAATAATATTCATCAGAAATCAAACAGGTGGGAGGGGGGAAGAGGGGTTAGGTAAATTCACACCTAACGGGTACAGTGCATACTATCTTGGTGATGGGCACACTTATAACCTTGACTCAAACGGTACAAAAGCAATTTATGTAACCAAAACATTTGTGCCCCCATAATATTCTGGAATAAAAAAAGAAAAAGAAAATTTAGCTGGTGTGGTAGCTCGAGCCTGTAGTCCCACCTACTCAGGAGGCTGAGGCAGAAGGATTGCTTGAACCCAGGCGTTTGAGGTTACAGGGAACTATGATGATGCCACTACACTCTAGCCCAGGGAAAAGAGATCCTGTGTCCAGGGGAAAAAAATAAGCAGCCTATAGATAATTGTGTACCCTAGTTTTTTATATAACATTATACCATTGAAAATTTTTCATTAACATTTTCAGTGATCATATAATAGTAATCATTTAGAAGTACCATAACGTTTAGAAGTATTATAATTTGATGTTTTCTTCTATTCTACAATCTTTTCTCCCTAGCTTTAAAACCCAAATGTGTGGAATTTACAGAAATGTCAGACTTTACCAATAATTTTATTAGGGCAATAATCTATTATTATTGAATATTTAGGTTGTCTTAAGATTTTCCCAGTTGAAATTGTACTACGTGAATGTACGTTAATTAAACTGGTCATTTTATTAGAATAGATTTTAAGAAGTGGAATTACTAGATTATAACTTCTTTGTTTTGCTTTTAAGTGGATTGCCCCTGATGGTGATTATCCACAAGTCGTGGTGTGGAGCTTGCAAAGGTAAGTGTAAGTGCTCAATCTAAGTTCAAACCTCAGATATGTTGTCAAATGTTAATATTTAACAAAAGTTAGCACTGACTCTGACCTGGTACTACTGATTGCTTTAAGGAATACCAAAGAAATACAGTTGTATTTTATGGGGTGAGCTGATTAAGATACAGTTATGTAGAGTATGAGATTAAGTGCTAAAATGCCATATGGACAATAAATATTAGAGGAAGCTGAAATCATGTACAGAGAGAGACATGAGGTTAGGGCAGTCTTCCTGGAGGAGGTGGGAACCAAATTATTAGAATTATTAATAGAGCCAAAGGTTATCTGACACTGTGGCATATGTTCTTTCTGCTGTACCACCTTGACATTTTCCCAATGAGTTTTTTTCCTTGCATTTGGTATGTTACACTTAAAAAAATTCTAGTTGGAAAAAGAGTGTAAAATTAATGGAAATTATTAGTGTAATTTTATATACATTAGTGACAGTGTTATTACTGTATTGTCTATTGCTTCAATAGAAGTTATTAAAATGTAACTATAAAAAGCAAATAATAATACTTTAAAAAAATTTGTATGGCATTATCCTTATTTTATAAATGAGGTAAAAGCTTCGGAGAAATGAAGTAAGTCACTCAAGGTCACATAAGTATGCAAATAAGTGGCAGAAGCAGGATCAGAATTCAGGTATCCAGATTCTGGTTTTTTAGAGTATTAAAAAAAAAGTTATATGAATAAACACAGCCTGAACTACCAAAGAGAAATAGTGATGCTCATGTTAATTAGGCTTTGGGTATGATAATGATGTTTTCTTCTATTTCAAAATCTTTCTTTCCCCCTCTAGCTTTAAAGCCCAAGTTTGCAGAATCTACAGAAATTTCAGAACTTTCCCATAATTTTGTTATGGTGAATCTTGAGGTAAGATTGAGAGTTTCTCCTTTTTGCTATGATTTTAAGACTTTACTGTTTTAGAGTTAGCATTATTAATGATATAAAATCATATTCAGCAGAGCTGTTTACTTGTATGTATGTGTTTTTCTCTTGACCTCTGATACTAAGGCTTGCGTCAGATATTTTAGAAAGCCATCCAGCATCTACTTCAGGGTGGTAGAAGGAAAGGAGAGATTGAATATAATGATGAAATTTTAAGGTCCTTTCATCCTTAGTTTATGATTATGACATGTTTTACGTCTTTGTATAGCTGGACTAAAGGTATAGTTATATATTCAGGTCAAAACTCCCTGCAAAATGTGAGTCAGTTAAGCACCTGCTCTGTGCTGAGCTTATATGGACCACCTTCCTGTTTCCTCATGAGATATCCTTTATAGACTTCATATGGACTCCAGGTCTTGGAATGCTGAGTCATAGAATATCAGATCTTAGAATTAGAAAGGATTTTTAGGCCATTGGTGCTATCCCCATTTTACAGAAAAGAACATCTTAGGCTTGAAGGAGATATGTGATTTGGTCAAGGTCGTAGAGCCTAATAAGTGATAAGAATAGGTACTCTGACCTAGCTGTGCTCCCTTTTAGGTGCTTTATGATGATACTTCTAGCCATAAGTTTCCGTAAAGATAGTGTTTACTTAAACCTAGGATTGGGAATCTTCCAAACACATTAACAGTTAACATTGAGGCACCTAAACAGTTGTTTACATAGGTAATGGATAGCCTGAATGCTAACCACTCACCAAGGCAAAGTTATATTACAGTTCGAAGAAATGACCCCATTTATCCCCTGAAATGGGAACCACACCATAAATTATAAAGTTATTGTTGATTTCCCATGCACATGAACTGCTTACGACTTTCTATGATAAATTAGGATTCCTCCTCAAAGGAGACAGAAATAACATCTTTAGTGAGCATTCGCTAACTTCAGAAATTTCTTAAAAAGAAAACCAACTGTGTGGTTTTATCTCCTGGGAGGACCATGACTTCACAAGTGTAGCTAGAATGCCAGTCTTGTTAATTCATTCATTCAAGAAATACTACATGCAAGTCAGTGATGTAGGTACTGACAATACAGCAGTGAGCAAAACAGACAAAATTCCCTCATCAAAATAACAGACTAATGTGGGGAGACAGACTAACAAATAAGTAAAATAAACCACATCAGATAGTGGTAAATTCTGTGGCTAAAAATGAAGGGTGGAGGGGATGACTACAGCTTTAAATAGGTGGTTAGAAAAGGGCCGGGCGTGGTGGCTCACGCCTGTAATCCTAGCACTCTGGGAGGCCGAGGCGGGTGGATTGTTTGAGCTGAGGAGTTCCAGACCAGCCTGAGCAAGAGCGAGACCCTGTCTCTACCAAAAAAATAGAAAGAAATTATCTGGACAACTAAAAATATATAGAAAAAATTAGCCGGGCATGCTGGCGCATGCCTGTAGTCCCAGCTTCTTGGGAGGCTGAGGCAGGAGGATCACTTGAGCCCAGGATTTTGAGGTTGCTGTGAGCTAGGCTGATGCCACGACACTCTAGCCCGGGCAACAGAGTGAGACTCTGTCTCCAAAGGAAAAAAAAAAAAGAAAGAAAAGAAAGTGACATTTGAACAAAGGTCTGATGCTGAAAAGGGAGTGAGCCATGTGGATAATGGGGGAAGTGGGTGCAGGCAGAAGGTAAGAGCAAGTCCAAAAGCCTGAGACAAGGGGGAGGACATGCAGTTAGAGAAGTGACTAGGTGGCAGATCATGTAGGGCATTGTAGGCCACTGCAAGGACTTGGGGATTTGGCCTGAGCAAGGAGGAAGCCACTGGAAGGTTTTGAGGAAAAGGAGGACACGACCTGGCTTAAGGTTTACATTTAACCTTAATAGGATGAAGAGGAACCAAAAGATGAAGATTTCAGCCCTGATGGGGGTTATATTCCACGAATCCTTTTCCTGGGTAAGGCACAAGATCTTAATTTGGGGATCCATGATGTGGATGGAGAGAGATATGAATGACGGCACTCATTCTACCTGGTGAAACTATACTAGGATGGCCAAAACCAAAAACAAACGAAAACCAGTTTCAGGAGAGAGTGGGGGAGGTGTGAATGCCAGAATTACAAGTTTGAAGGGAAACTTTTCTCATTAACTAACTACTTTTGTGAGCAATGACAAGAATTTGATCATCTATTTATTCATTCAGCAATCATTTGAGCATCGCCATATGTCAGGCACTATGCTAGGCACTACAGGGACAGAGATGACCCACAATTCCCACCCTGTCCTATGGTGTAGCTGAGGCAATGGAATAGCATAACCAGACAAATGTCTTTCCATGAACAATTTTATAAGATATTTAATGACCAGTAATCTTTGCTCAGTATTCTGCTAGATTTTATGGGGGCTATAAATAAAAATGTATGATCCCACCATTATCAAGTAGAAAAGGAAGCAGAAATGCAAGGGGTAGTAGGGTGGTGATATGACGGGCTGCAAAGAGGAGGAAGCCTCATTTCCCATAGGGCCTAGTGTACCATATAGTGTTGAAAGTACCTGTCTATTGTAATTACTGCAAACCCCTGTGCCATTTTGTCTATAACAGATCCCAGTGGCAAGGTGCGTCCTGAAATCATCAATGAGAGTGGAAATCCCAGCTACAAGTATTTCTACATCAATGCCGAGCAAGGTACAGTTATGCTGAGAGAAAGGAGGATGGGTTGTTGCTAGATTTAACTAGGATGGACAACATGCAAAATCTGTGATAGGAAACTCAATTCAACATGCCAGCTGAGCTTCTCCTTCCTGTCTAGTTTTTGGCTAGATCCTACGTAGGATATAGGAGAAAGATAAAACTGAGCTCTTTCCCCCAACCACTTACAGTCCAGTGGAAGAGCTGACTGACCCACAGGAAACTGAGGCTCACAGAGAAAGTCACTTGCCCATGGTCTCACAGTTAATAAGTCGCAGAGCCAGGATTTGAATCCAGAACTTATACCACTGCAGTAATACTATTCTTCCTATATGAATTCAGAGGAAGGGGGAATACTGTTAGCTGAACAGGTCTAAAGGTTTCATAAGTATTAAACTTTAATTGGACCTAGAGGAATAAGATTTTGTCTCTGGATGGATATGAGGAGGACATTTCAAGCTATAGAAGTGAGAAGGAAGGGGGATGTAGCCCAACAGAGAGCTGGTCAGGCTTGCTAGAGGAAGTGATAACTGGATTGAGTCTTGAAGAATGAGACCTAGTGAGCAGCAGAATGGGGAAAGCATGTTCCAGACAGAGAGAATAGCATCAGCACAAACAGGTGAAGGAAGTTGAAATCACATCAGTTGTGCTTTTTGTTTTCTAATCCTTGTGCACAGTCATTCTGGAGGCAACGGTTGGAATTTATGCCATGTATTGTCGCTGTTTTTTTTCCTTTTTCCCCTAATCGATAAAAAAGAGGGGTGTTTGCTAAGTTGCTGTATGTCCTCTATTACTATGCTGCCGGGTTGTCGATCACTTTATGTTTTGAGTCTTTGAAACTCCTATTTTCAGAATGGGGGGGGAAGAGATCTGGAAATGTTATCAACTCTTTCCCATGGATAAAGGAATGTCATGTTCCTTAACCAAATGCAGATCACTGTAGACTGACATTAGAGGGAAATTTTCTGCATGGAGAAGGGTAGCTGGGTTTTAGGCTCCCAATCCTTGTACTTTGAGATTCACCTTCCCTTTAGAATATCATCCAAGTTAGAACTGCCATCTCCACACTGGCATAGTCCTGATGTGAACACAGGACCCTTCCCTGAATCCCCCACAGCTCAGCTGACGTGAAACTAGAACATTTAAACCTGACTTTACTAAAGTCATAGGCAAAACAAAAGGGAAATAACAGATGATATTATCTGGCTTTTATGAGCTTATGGGTTTGTTTTTCAAGATTTACAGACTCTGGCTCAACCCAGCACCTGGCCTGCCATTGATAGGGGTGCTGTTGCAGAACCACGACTCAGGAGCCTATAGCTGTCCTTCTTGAAGTCTGAATCCATAAGAGGGATGCCCCAAGATAGACAAGAAGTTTCATCTGCAGTTCTACCTAAGGCCCTCCTTCTAGGTTTCTCCCTTTTTTTGCCTAACAACTTGGCTTCTCCCATGTATAGTTGATACTGGAAATGACCAACCCCACTCCCAGGACAGACACACACACACACACACACACACACACACACACACACACACACATACACACATACACATACACATCATTGTAACCTGTAACCACAGGAAGTGACATAAATGTAACATTCATCCAAAAGATACAATGGGATGATAGGAATGGGTTCCCTCTTCCTTAGGGTCAAGTGAGTATCCATAGTTGGCCAAGATCAGCTCTAACTTAGAGGGTAAGCCAAAGCAACTGCTAACATTTTTATAGGACTTCATAGTTAATAAAGCACTGTTGTTATCCCTTCTCTCATTTAATTTTTATAATAATCCAGTGTGAAGCAAGTCACATGATCTCATTTTATAAATGACACAAATTCAAAGAGATAAATGACTTGCCAGGGCTAAAATCCAGAACTAGATCTCGAGTCCAGATCTTGCACTCCTCTCATATTTCTCCTAAAACATTTAGAAGTCTACACTGGTTGGCAGATGTCAAATATTAAAGATGTCCTTCATACTTTTTCCCCCCCAACTTTTATTTCACAGTTGTTCAGGGGATGAAGGAAGCTCAGGAACGGCTGACGGGTGGTGCCTTCAGAGAGAAACATCTTGAACATGAGTTGTAACATGAATGTATCCCTTCTTTCATCAAAGTTAGTGTTCTGGAAAGAAAGCAGCAGGGGAGGGAACATTGAGGAATCACCCAGAACAATTAAACTGACCAGGAAACTTTGCTCCTGTCTACACCAGAAGGAGCTCTCACTGTGGAAGAGTTCTGCTAACGGAAGCTGGTCTACATGTTCGTGGATCCAGCAGAGTGTGGCAGACTTTCTTCTCTTGCTCCCTCTCACCTAAATGTCAGTTTGTCATTGAATGTAAAGAATGAAACCTTTTGACACAAAACTTGAGCCACTTGGAGGTTTACTCCTCAGAGTTGAGTATTTGAGTCTTTTCCCATTTCCTCCCACTTTATTCACCTGAGTGGTGAAAGGGAAGACCAGTAGCATCTTTTCTACAATGTTGAAATTGCAGAAATACCTTATCAATTTTTTTTAAAAAACAATAAATCCTAAATGTAAATCAGTAAATCTATTGCCTACATAGGAGACCAGCCTGTTTTTTCTCCTGGGAATAATTGTGCACTTCTTTTCAAATCCCTGCAACCCCCCTCCTCTCCTCCTGCTTGGGCTTCCCTGTTTGCATGCATGGCTGTGTGCTTGGACTCAGCTCCAGCTGGAAGCATGCTTTCCCTTGTTAATGTTGGAGAATCTCACACCTTCAAGCCCTAGGTGTAGCCATTTTGTCAAGTCATCAACTGTATTTTTGTACTGAGGTTAATAAGAAAAAAGATAAAATATTGTTCCATTAAACTTTAATAAAACTGTAAAAGGAAGTGTGCTGTGATGGCCTTTTTGTTATTGCAGAATGGAGGGAGGGATGGAGATCACTTCAGGAAGAAAACTAACTTAGAGGTCCTAAGATAAGAGTCCTAACCCGGGACTCCTCCTCCTCCTGGACCTTCCACGTTGAAATGAGCGCCAGGGCTCATCTCTTTTACCTTTTAAATACCTGAATTTCCTCTGTCCTCACTATCACTGTTTTAGGACGAGACAGGTTTTTTCTCTTTCCTAGACCATTTATTGCTCCAGCCCCTCAACTGGCCTACTGCCTCTAATAATCTCTCCTCCTAAAATCCATCCTCCTTGCTCCCTGTGGAGTAATCTTTTCAAAACACAAATGTGACCACATCACTCCCCTGTTTAAAACCTGTCCTTGTACGTTTAAGATAATAATGTTAGGAAATTATCAGGCCTTGGTATGTGCCAGGTGCTCTTCTAAGTGCTTTCTATGTATTATCCTATTTAGTTTCCCTTTAGTCCTCCTCACAGCCCTGCGAGAAAGGTACTATTGTAATCCCCATTTTACAGAAGAAGAATTTGAAACGTGAGGAAACCAAGGTGCAGGATAAAGTCAAGGTCTTTGCCATGGCCTTTAAGAAGCTGCCTACTTCTTCAACCTCATTTTTCCCATTCATGTCTCTGCATTTTTGTTGTGGTGACACCAAATTGCTTTGAGTTTCCCTGAAAACATGCTGTTTTATGCTTTTGTGTCTTGCTCATCTGTTTCCTCAGCCTAAAACATGTTTTCTTTCTATTCTTCCTTCACAACCCATTTTGAGCCACCTCTTCCAGAGAGCCTTCCCTGACCTTCTCATGAGGGTAAAATGTCATCCCCAGCACATCTGTCCCAGCCTTGTACCACTTGATGTTGAAATAACCTAGTTGCACATCTGTGGCTGTCATCAGGTGGCCATTCTCCTCTAGGGCAGAGGCTACTCTTCTGTCCTGTGTATCAAGGTCCTGAAACTGTACTTTCAGGTGACTTGCCAGACTCTATGCTAGTTTCTTGTTTCATCTATTTTCTCAGTACTATCAATAAGGCCAGGCATGGTGGCTTGATCCTGTAATCCCAGTAGTTTGGGAGGCCAAGATGAGAGGATCACTTGAGCCTAGGAGTTTGAGGCCAGCTTGGGCATCATAGTGACACCCTGTCTCTGCAAAAAATTTAAAAATTAGCTAGGTGTGATGGCGCATGCCTTTAGTCCTAGCTGCTTGGGAGGCTGAGGCAGGAGGATTGCTTGGGCCCAGGAATTCAAGGTTACAGTGAGCTATGATCAGGCCGCTGTACTCCATCCAGCCTGAGACACAGCTAGACCCTGTCTCTTAAAGAAAAATTTTAAAAAATAAATACAACCAACCAATGGTCCTGTGATAGGTATTGTTACCTCATTTTATAGAAAAGAGAACTTCAGAGAAGGAAGTGACTAGCCCTTGGATTGGAGACTAAGTAAATACTGGATTCTAACCACTGTCTGATCCCAAACTCATGCTTTCCCCACCACATTACTTCCTTTAATGTTCCGAAGTGTGATTTGCTGGAACAGAAGTTTTAATCCGGGGTACATAAAGACTTCACAAGGAATATATAGGCACAAAAACTTTAATGAATTTATTTCTAGATCTTCATCTTTCTTCAAGTGATTTCCCAGGGTTCTTCAAAAAATTAAACATAGAATTACGATATGATGTGGCAATTCCACTTACAGGTATGGACTCCAAAGAATTAAAAATGGGATCTTGAACAGATAATTTGTACACCCAAGTTCATAGCAGCATTATTGACAATAGCCAAAAGGTGGAAGCAACCCAAGTGGCCATTGATAGACAAATTGGTAAATGTAATATGTATGTGCAATGGAATATTATTAGTTTTAAAAAGGAAGGAAATGCTGATACGTGTTACAGCGTGGATGAACCTTGAAGACATGCTAAGTGAAATAAGTCAGACACAAAAGGACAAATATTGTATGATTCCACTTATGAGCTACCTAAAATAGAATTATAGAAAGTAGAATGGTGGTTGCCAGGGGCTGAGGGGAGGGTAAATGGAGAGTTAGTGTTGAATGGGTACAGAGTTTCAGTTTGAGTTGTGATGGCTCACGCCTGTAATCCTAGCACTCTGGGAGGCCAAGGTGGGAGGGTTGCTTGAGGTCAGGAGTTCGAGACCAGAGTTTCAGTTTGGGAAAATGAAAAAGTTCTGGACATGGAAGATGGTAATGGTTGCATCATAATGTGAATATATTTAGCACCACTGAACTTACACTTAAAAATGGTTAAAATGGTAAATTTTATATATATTTTACCAAAATTCAACTGATTTCCCAAAAAATGTCATGAAGAGAGTTCATTCCCACCCTCCTAGTCACTATTCACCTTTTCCCACTTTACAGAAAAAAAGGCATACTTCTTACCCTGAATTTTAATATGGTGCATTGCCCCATTATGTAAAAACCTCTGGGCGTCACAGGGAAACTGAAATATTACCATGCTTCCTTGATTAGAGGCTTTTTGTCTTGCACATAGTTCTGTCCTAAGCATAGTTCTGTGAAGAGCAAAACCTGACATTAGAAATGGGGCAGTTTGCATCATTTGAGGATGTTTCAAATTCAGACATAGTAAAGTGGAAGTGAGGAAAATTTGCTTCTTCCAATCCCTAACTATTATTTAAGAAGGCATCTCTCCTGAGGGAAAGTTCTAAGAGGGCATAGAAAAAATTTTGAAGTCATCCATTTCTGACAAGGCTTGACCTCCTAGAATTAGAATTTGGAATATTTTAGGATTAGCATTTGGAACAAAGTTATCATAGGGATTCATGTTAATGTGTTTATTTGCACTGAGAGATGAAGTGTTATGATGTTGCCTCTGGGCAAAATCTTGAACTTCCCAAAACAAGATATATGATTGGCTAATAAGCACATGAAAATGTGTGATATTATTAGACATCAAATAAATGCAGATTAAAACTACAATGAAATACTATTTCCCACCTATTATTAGAATTGCTAAATTGAAAAAAAAAAACCTGATGATACCAAGTGTTGGAGAGGATGTGGAACAACCGGAACTGTATATTGCTGTTGAGAGTGTAAAATGGTTCAGCTACTTTGGAAAACAGTTTGGCAGTGTTTTGTAAAGCTAAATATACACTTACTAGGTAACCCAGAAATTCCAGAATTATATGACTATGTGGATTATGTGAAACATAGGAACACACACACGCACATGCACAAGCTTGTATAAGAATGTTCATGGCAACTTTATTCATAATATCTGAAAAACTGGAATCAACCTAAATTCCTATCAACAAATAAATGGATAAATTGTGGTATAGTCACACAAAGGGGTACTACTCAGAATAAAAAAGAAGAAACTGCTGACACTTGCAACAACATGAATGAATCTCAAAAACAAGCTGAGTGAAAAGACAGGCTAAAAAAAGTACATTTATAGAAGATTTTGGAACAGGCAAAACCTATCTATAGTGTAAGAAAGCAGATCAGTGATTATCTGGTGTTGGGGATAGGAGTGAGAAGGAATTAACTGCAAAGACACAGGAGGGAACTTTCTGTGGTGATGGAAATCCTGATGGTGATGGTTACACAGGTAACCATTTGTCAAACCTCACTGAACTGTAAACTAAACATATGAGCATTTTATTATATGAATTTGTGCCTCAATTTATTTGATTTCAAAACACTTATTTCAACTCTCCAAAATGAAGTCTTTTTGAAATAAACTCTAACTTAACTAATTGATTTTACAGTGAAGACTGGGTTGGCCAATTAGATAATATATAAAGCTTTTCCATAAATTAAGTGAAAGCCAAGTATTGATTAACATATACTTAAAACACATGATAAGATAAATGCATTTTGTCAAAGCATATTATATTGGCAAAGATTTTCTTAGCACTTTCTGAGGAATTTGGATTATACAAGGTACCTCTTAGGCAAGTAAAAAAGTCTGAGATGCAGTTAATAAGTTTTTGATAAGTTTTTGTGATATACTTGCCAGAAATTGAAAAAGAGAATGACTCTAATGAATGGGTAGCAAGTTCTTTTACAAATTAGAAGCTTTCTATTTCTTTGCTTACAATGTGATTGAAAGAGGACCTAATTGAATTATCAATGAATATATCATTAAATTTTTTTATATTAGATCATTGTGATTTTTTTGGCATATAACTCAGAAAATTTGAAGAATTTAATGCCATTGCAATAATGAAGCTCCTTCCATCCCCATATACTTATTTATGTGAACATTATTTCTCAGCACTTATATCTCTAAAAGTAATAACTGGCATTAAGAAAAATTGTTCAGAACTTTGAATGTCATTTTAGAGCACTGTTGTAACAGGCTTGCCTAAGGAGTTATCTGACTTTCCAAGAAAATATGACTTAATTTGATTTACTATTTACTATTAATTAAGGTCCAGACATTTTACAACTCCATAGAATTGGATGTTAACTTGTAGAAAACTGGTAAGAGGCAAATGATTTCTTTCCCAATGAGAAGATAATCTCAAAGATTATGACTTTATTGCCCAGAAGTCATTAATCACTTTGTTTATTTGTTTTCTGAGACAGGGTCTTGCTCTGTTGCCCTGGCTAGAGTGTAGTGGCATCACCATAGCTCACTGCAACCTCAAACTCCTGGGCTTGTGTGATCCTCCTGCCTCAGCCTCCCAAGTAGCTGGGAGGTGTGTGCTACCACACCCGGCTAATTTTTGTATTTTTATGGAGACAGGGTCTTGCTCTTGCTCAGGGTGGTCTTGAACTCCTGACCTCAAGTGATCTTCCCGCCTCAGCCTCCCAAAGTGCTAGGATTACAGGCATGAACCAGCACGCCCAACCCATTAACCAGTTTTATATCTGATTTAGCAATCTTATTTCAGTATTCCTTTTTGTCACTGACAATGTATAATGTATGTAAGGTTTTTTTATCCTCACTTGAATTGGTTTGTTATCCTGCTGGTCCTCATTATGAATTAATC